TCCTTCTTCCTTATATTTCTTGGTCTCCTTCTCTTCATGCCCTCTCTACTATGGTTAACTTGATCCATATCTGGTTCTGCCAGGAAATAGATATAAGCTGTTTGAAAAAATTTTATAAGCATCAGAAATTTCCCAATTACTCTTTGGGTGTCACCATTGTTTAATGTAATTCAGAATAAAACAAACTATGGATTAATTAAAAAGAGATTAAATTAATGAAGCATATATAAATCAATGTGTTGTGCACGCATGCACGTCTACATTTCTACATTTGATGATGAGAATGTCCGTAGTTAAGGTCCGAGGCAGTGGGGCTCCATGAGCGACAAAGGAACTGCACTAGCATGCAAGAGGAAATCCAGTTGGACTCATAACAAGGAGAATGCAATTATGGTATTCCTTTACTTTGATGCTGGCAATTTTTTCAGTTTCTTATGTCCAACATCCTGCTCAGAAAACTTCCCTTTCTAAATAAAATTTTACTGGTCAAGATAAATAGTAAATAATAATTTAAGCTGCTAATCTAAAGAAAATAAAAATTTGAATCATTACATTCATATACACTACTTTTTTAAATATTATTCTTTGCAATTTGTAATTTTTGGCTTGGTTTTTGAAAAGACCTTCTGGGTCAGTACTCCTGGCACTTCCCTCCATAATTGCATGCACGATCAAAGTTTTTAAATTAATTGCCAAAAAAGCAACTTTAAAACTGTAGAATATGCAAAATGGTAGAATTCCTATGCGAACAGACAGAAAGTAAGGCCAAAAAAGAAGTATAAGGAAAGATCAATAAGCTTGAACAGAGTTAACTAAACTCAGGAAATTAAGTTCAAATCATATAAAAGAATAATTTTTTAGCACTAAATCCAGAAAGATTAACTAATCACTTATGAGAAGAAGAAGAAAAAGGCAAATGGGATTATTCCTTAAGCGGAATCGATTATGTCTATGGCAAATTTATACGCCTACTAGACCTATAAGTTACTAATATACTGCAAAATTGGTAACACATTCTACAAGTGGAAATTAAACATCTGAAAGGGAATTAGCCAACTTGCAAAATTCCTTAATTTAAAAGGCTTCTTTCTAGACTATTATCATTATAATCCCCCTTATACTTGGAAAAGTAAGTAACTTAGAAGTAACAATCTCAAAGACATAAACAGAGCATTAAGTTTTAATTAATCTTTTCTTACTACTAACTTTAATTTCCTTTTGGGGAATAGTAAATCTTGACCTGAGATAATAAACATGACACCTTCTGGGAATCTCCTTCACCCTCTGTGGAAGATCGAAATTAGTGTTTACATTAGCAAAGTAAGTGAGGCATTAATAAATTTGGTCTTTGGTGTAGGAAAAAAATCTTCCGCCAAACCACTGTAGACTGCTCTATTTATCCCCCGGTCGTAGAGGTGTTGAGAGCTTTTTATTTCTCGGTGCTCACGCCCTGGCCTCAACAACTAATACTTGTCGGCCTTCATGAGAAACACCTTAATGATCTCATTTTGCGAATCGTTAATTTTGTTAGTTGTATGTGTGTTTTGCAATA